CGGAGAAAGTTCTCAAAGCAACACTTTCATATATCCTGGTATGGAATTAGTCGGCCATCCTACACAGTTGACCACGTGTAGCGATGAATCACGAGAACATGCACAACATGATTGTGAAAGTGCGGGAACGAGCAGCTCAAGAAAACGCAAGAGAGTGAGCGGACAATCGAATGAAGATCACTCAAATAAGCTTGAAAAGTTGCAAAATGTCATTTTTAAAGTGATAAATAAGAGAGAATGTTTTGCACAAGAATATAATCAAAAAACAAAGAATAACCAAGGAGATTTGGAGTTGTCCAGGTATTTTGATAATCTAAAAGAAATGTTGGTTAAGTTTACAGATGATACACACAAAAATAAGGGAAAGATAGTTAATACGAGAATAGATAATTACGGTAGTTTGTCACTAATTTCCGAATATATTACGTTTAGAACAAACATATTTGTTCAGATGAAAAGATTTTCAGTGTCAATTGAAAGATTAAGTTCCGATAAAGTGGCTGTTTGCTGTGGGGGTGTGAATAAAATTTCTGAGCTGCTGAGGCTTTACGCCAGATACAACGATGAACTTTATTCTATGCTAACAACGAATTCGAAGATAAGTGAGGCAGAGTATTTTAGTAGTGAAAGTGTGAAATGTGTAGGTTGTAGGCATTATCATCCTAATAGCTGTTTTATTATGCAAAATGTGATCGATAATTTATTTGAAAACTCATTAGAAATGCTGTACGGAAACAAAGTTATTGACAAGTGTTTGCTTTTTTCCGAGTTTACAAGCCTTTGTGGGTATTTTATACAGTTCCGCAATTATCGAAACAAAAAACTTCGTGATAAAGCGATCACGATATATATTGCCAGCAGAATTGAAAACATTGTGACATCATGCATAAAACTGAGGAATGGAGGAGATGATCAATATAAGAACAAACAGAATCTGCTGATACAGATCGATTATCGTTCCTTTGTTCGTAAATTTCTGTTTTCGCAACTTCTTAGTGTGTTCAGAGTTAAGTCAAGCGTTATTTCAAAGTACATATTTTTTTCCGAGTTGGAGTATACTTGCTCAACAGTTTGTGGTGCGAGTAATCCTGATACTGTTTGCGATACTTTTTTGGAGGGATATGAGCCTCTATTTTTTTTGCTGTCTGGTTTATTTGATAAGATTAGATTCACAAAATATAGTTCAAAAGCTACTTGGGATATAAATCTAAGCATGGAGCACTTAGATGGAAAATACATTCTTAAGGAGATTCTTCGTATCTATTCACGTCATATGAAAGAGAGATTAGGACAAAACGTGAAATGGTTGTATGGATATATTGGACGGTATCTCTCCACAAGCTATTCTGAGAGGCGAGATGAAATACTCAATAAAATTGAGGAATTGAATTATAACAACTCTGAACCTATGGCACAGCAAGTTTGTGATCTTTATAAGTGTGTTAGAGGACATCTGGAAGAGTTGATACGCCAGTAAATAACACCCAGATATGAGAATCATAAGATTAAATAGTATTTATGGATTTGTGTTGTCTAAATATTACATGTGTTTTTGTAGTAGTTTTTACATCTGATATTACGATTTATTATTATTGTGAACAGACATCAGATGATATCATCATCGCATGAGTAAAAAGACAACTCAGAAGCTGATTGTTCGGTTCTGTGAAATAGATTATTTGACCCTTCGAGAAAAATAAAAAATTTTGTTTCACGTATTTGCACTGCATGAAGAGTCTAAAGTTGTTGTACAACTCATTCTTTCTGAGATGCACTTAGTCATCATTTACAAACAATATTTTCATCCTATTTTTATTTATTCAACCCCTATCATTATTTGGTTGGCTGTTTTTATGAACACCACCACGTCTAATCAAAGTGCATGAAATAAATAACATATCAGCACTTTTAACTTTTGTTTGACTTCCTCAACATTGTAACAAATTACGATGACATTTACAATATATTTAGATTATTTACCAGAAAAAGAATAAAATACAAAGAAATGGATGTAAAAGTGAGTTTTTGGTCAATGTAACAGAACATAACATCACAATCAAATTGACAATTTGGTGAACATTTTGTATGTTCTCATCATTGACTAACATTCATTTTTCTGGAAGAAATAAAACTATAAATAAGTTGAGAAGTCGATGCATTATGTTTCCAGATTTTGACAATACGCCGACTGAAAAGTTTTTGGTGGAAAAAACACAATTGTTAAATCCTGGTGGTTTTGTCTGTGTTGTAGATAATCAGCTGATTGTCTACCGCGGCAAAGCTTTATTTATAGATCGGATCTACGAGAGTCTGCAAAATGTTCCTGTGCTCTGTGCACAGTTCTTAAAAAAGCACTTCGATATTGTGCATGTTCTAAAAAAAGTATAGGGCCAAAATAATAGTACCAGTAGCAGTAAAAAATAATCAGACAATATCTCTACACCGACATTCCATATCACTATGTGTACACGAACAGCCGATGGGTATTGCGTCAGCGGGGCGAGGACAAAGTCATTACAAGATTGTATGCGGTCAATCCAGAGGAAAAGGAGAGATTCTATCTGAGAATGCTCTTGCTCAATGTGAGAGGTGCCACGTCATTCGACGACTTAAGAAGTGCCAACAATGTTGTATATGGCACATTCGAGGAAGCAACAAGGGCAAGAAATCTTTTGCAGGATGACAGTGAATGGAAGAACGTGCTGGGCGAAGCTGCAATGACAGAGACATCTGACCACATCAGAAAGCTGTTCGCATACATCTGTGTGTTCAACAGACCGCATGATGCACTTAGGCTGTTCAACGACTATGTTGACGATATGTGCGATGACATCGTTAACGAGATATATGGTGATGTTGCCAACATGGCTGACAGCGAAGATCTGACGAACAGAACTATACTCACAACAAACAACGATGCTGCAAAGGAAATCAATGATAGGGTCCTTGACTTGATGATCGGCAACGAAGTGACATACACGAGTGCAGACTCTATTGTCACAGAGGACAATGATGTTGTTGCAAACTATCTGCTAGAGTTTTTCAACAAGCAGCAGCCTTCAGGAATGCCACCGCACAAGTTAGTTCTAAAAAGGGTGCGTTGATAATTCTATTGCGCAACCTTGATCCAGCCAATGGCCTGCTCAATGGCACACGCCCGGTGGTTGATGAACTTCACTCAAACTTCATCATAGCTACTATTGTAACCGGATCCAGGAGAGGTAGTAGGGCAGTGATACCAAGGATCGACATGGCACCGAGCGAGACACAGCTGCCGTTCATACTCAAGAGAAGACAGTTTCTTGTTCTTCTTTCGTTTGCGATGACAATCCACAAGTCACAGGGTCAGTCATTTGACAAGGTAGGTGTTTATCTGCACAGCCCAGTCTTTGTGCATGGTCAGTTGTACGTAGCTTTGTCGAGAGTGCGCTATGCAAAAGGTCTAAGGGTGTATGTTGCTAACAATGGAGACCAAGGAAAGCATGAGAATGGTAAAGTATACACAAGAAATGTTGTATACAATGAGCTATTGGAATGAAAGTGATTTATTGATTTTGTAACCACAGAACAGTTAGTAGAAAGGAATGACCTGATGTCCTAGTCACATTTAAAAGCGCAGTCTTGATATACTACCCATTCATCACCCGTTTTTGAAAAGCGAACTGGTACAGTTAGTTTCTTACAATCAAAAAGATATATGATAACTGATCAATTCCTGTAGAATAGATTTATACAATCGTTGATAAATGAAATCTTTTACCACGCATTCCTGTATGGATAAAATGATATAACCGCAATTTAGTTTACTTTTCCGAGTCTCATACAGGTAATTTATATGAGAAGAATGCAAATATACATGTTTCAAACAAAAAGTTGACCTCAACTCCTCTTTATAAGAGTGGCAAAATATGAGAAGATAGCGAGAAAAAAGAAAATAATACAATAAAGAAGAAATCAGGTCTTGACAAACAATTAGTCTTCTCTATTCCATAAATGAACTTATTGCAGCTAGTGAATGACTAGAAATACGTAATGCATTGTTTTTTTGAGAAATAAAAACTAATACTATATTTCTGAACATTATGTAGATAACTCATGAGTGAGCCTACGTAAGCGATTTATAATAGAGTAAATAAGATTGATTTAGCGATAATGGGAACAAATACTAAGCTTGATCGGGATTTTGTGCCAACTACAATACTACTGAGACAAAAAAATCTTTAATACAGCGAGATTTTACGTCAGAAGAAAGAAGTCGTTTCACCATACTTGTGTCATATTTTATTATATTATCTCCTTGAACATTTGCGCACCCGATCAAGCTACAAATACAGCAGTGGTCGAATTTTGAAGACATTTGTTATATTTTATCACATCGCGAGAGTTTAATTGCAAAAATGCTTCGCTCTCACTTCACAAGAACTATATCACCGAGGTAAAATTATTCTGAGAGTTGAGAACCGTACGGGTCATGATCAGATAAAACACCAAATTTATTTTAGAGAAGTAGTTTTTCAAATAATTTACTATCTTTTACCAATAAAAATTAATTCATATTGATTACATTATCCATTTATGTCAAGAACTTCCCACTATGGAATTATATTTGTTATATTTGAGCTTTTTTTGGAGGGAAAAAACAAAAGCGAGAATTCATTTAACAATATGAAAAAACAAAATAGTGTGGTATAGAACGTTCTCAACCAAATAAAATAGCACCTTTTAACAACATTTTATTCTGCTTGTGGTAATGATGCACGCGGTACCAATATCACATAAAATTTGTTATATAGGTGTGTACTAGCTTAGATAATGCTAGCTATATTATACACAGTTAGGTGTAAAGACCACACTCCACCTTTATCAATCTGTCATTTATTTATCAGCACATAAAAGAAAGCAAAAGGAGACCCTCAAAAAATGGGACAAGAAGACAAAATTGCAGAAGTAAGTAGAGCGCACGGGACGGATAATGTACTCGATAAATTGGAGAATGAGATTGGGATGGAAGTTGTTGAGGATGATACCGTCGGTAAGTATGGAAGTGTGTTTTATTCAGATAGTTTCGGGAGTGACATAGGGTCAGTGGGTGTGCGAAGTGAGCTAGGAATGGAGAAAAAATGGGCGTGTGGGAGGGGGAAGGAATGTGCAATTCAGGTATATGATGAAAGTACAGCAAAAAATGGCGAGGAGGAAGGGATATGGAAGGGAGAAGACAATGGTGAGTGTGGGAAAAATCAAGAGGAGCGAGAGATAGGACAAATAATTGACAAAAAGCGGCAAATGAACAATGACGTGTGTGGGAAGGTGCCTAAAACGGAGAGAACAGACAGTATAGATACCGATAGGAGCGATGGAGCAGCTGACAATGAGTATAGTGGAGCGCCTAAAGGAGTAGTGATATCTGAGAAAGAAGTGTGTGCTGAAAGTAAACAACCAAAGCGACAATCGGTCGAGAATAGCGATGAGGGCGATGCCCATGCTGCTAGCAGTAGAGTCTGTGAAATGAGTCGATTCGTGCGGCGCGTAGTGTCCAATGTGAGCGGGAAAACTAAAATAGCGCCAGGAAATGATCGGATCGCTGATCACAGGTTCAGAAGCAAGTTTAAAGTCGAGCATATCACGTTTAAAAATTATCAGGATAAATTCATACGCTACGATGATATTTCGCCTGTTGAGAAGTATGAGCTATACCGCTATGCGGTATTTATGCTCTCCTCCGCTGTGTCTGGGAACAAACTCTCGTTTCTCAAAAAAATGATGAAATTTGGGAATGAAGATAGGACAGAGACGAGCCACATACACCCGTTCATATTCAAAATCATGGATTTTATAAAAACAAAGCGCGCTAATTATCACGGCATATTCAGGTGCTCAGGTGACTACCGCGCGAGTCTGCTTTTGTATGACAGGTTCATGGCTGGTGAAACGTTCGATCTCGATACCACGGATGTGAGGAACACAGTTGCATTTTTCAAGATTTACCTGAAGAAAAAGGTGAATGGAATTTTCTCATTCGATATACTTGACTCGCTGTATGAGACTGCCAAGCACAAGTCGTCACCATCTATCAACTATTTGCTTTTTTATCTCCCGTTTTGCTTTGTCGGCGATAAAAGGAAGTTTCTTATAAGCTTGATAGAAATGTTCAAAGAGATTGATCAGCACAAAGATGAGAACGACATGCCCATTCCCAACCTGGTGCGGTGCATAGCTCCTTCTCTGTTTCCCGATACTCGGCTCAAAAGTATCGAGACTGTGTTCTACCAGGCGTGGGCGGTGCAGAAGCTGTTTGATATTGATTTAGTCAAGGTGCCTAAGCCTTTATTGGAGTTCTCACACGTTTATGTGGTAGAAAAGAGCTCTTTTTCGATCTGCTAGTGAAGGTGGTGAATCAGAGGTAACGCAGTACATTAGGCTAGAGTTTGAAAGAGTGAGCAAATATCTCGATTATTATTTGCATTGTATTCGCATACAAAGCTTCTAAAATGCTCGGTTTATTACCAGTGTCTCGCCTATGACGGGTTGTAATGCGCCAAATACTTGTGAATGATAAATTTGAGCAGGTGTCAGAGTAAGGCTGATCCATCGGCCTAACTTTATTAAAGTACTTTCATTAATCCGAGCAAGTAAAACGATTCTGCATTGTTACTTAAGTTTGATGTATTTGGTGTTAATCATTGGTGCACTAGATCAGAAACACCGGGTTTTCCATTATCAATTGCTAAGTAAATACAAGCATTTTTTGTAAAAAACGGTACTGCAGCTATGATGCGTCTTAATGTCGCATTCCTGATTACGTGTTTATCTTTTTGGTGCACTTTCTGCATGTTAACATTGCTGTAATACTTTACATTCTGAATTTTTTATGATCTTGATTACATATGCACCGATATTTCTTTTGTTTTACAAAAGGTAAATTTATTGTCTCGTCATTAAATATTCTTTTTATTAAAAGATAAGCTAGGACTTACTTATTTGTGCGTATGCAATAAATCCGCTTAGGTTTGTTATCTTTTTATTTACAGGACAAGAAATAAAAACTAAGGCGAACTATTTGAATCGCATTGATCTTTTATCCAACTTTTTACACAAATTTGTATTTCTGATAATAGGACCACGATTGACAGCGTGTTGTGCAGTGCATAAACATGAAAACGGTTCCAAGCGACGATAAAAAAATTAAAAAGTGGATGATTTGTGGAAAAATGACGTATGAATGTGAACGATGAAGTCCTGATAAAAAAGAGAAGAGGTAAAGTTTATCCCAGGTTTTGCATATTTGGTACATGCAAAAATTAGAAATTATCAGTTGAATGGGTTCTGATGAATAACTTTTTCGATAATTCTTGAAATGCCCGAAGATGAAGCATCTTTATCAAAGAAATTTGATAAAATATTGTTACTTCGAAGATTCCGTATAAAAATACGACAAAGTGTTTGTCAGCAGTTTAAATTAACTAAATTAGTGGATGTTGGTCATGGCACGAGCGGTTCCATATTAATGTTTTTAATAACAAAAATGGAAATGTAGAGTCAGAAGGCTACTTGCGGAGTTGTATCAAACTTAGATTGCAACGAATCAAAAGCATAGGATATGGAAAAAAGTTTCGGGATGGCACCGATATTGCCACACAACCTGCCGCCTAAAAATCATTCCCTAACCGAGAATCGAACTCGGGCCGCCGGTGTGAAAGACCGGTATCCTAACCTCTGGACCATTAGGGATTAACTCATCTCAATCAGTTCCTTCATAACAAGTATTTATATAGGCATAGTTCTATAAAACGATAGTAGAGAAGAATGATCAGACAATGGTAAGTATCATCGGTAAATTTGCACTCATACCGTGTAGTATTTATTTATCTCATGGCTTGTTGGTATGAAGTAAAAACTTTTATGAACTGCTCAAGCCTTTTCTTGGCAACAAAGTAACACAAGATGAGCAATACTACTAAAATAACACCAAGAACTAACAATCCTATCGTGAATAGCAACATATCATCATCGTTGAACGACCATGTAACAGTGTTTTGGTTGTTAGAAGAAGTTGTTTCTTTTATTACCAGCTCATCAACTACTGGATCAACAACAGTTTCGTTTGTAAATTGCATTTAAATTGTGTCACTGTTGTTTAAATATGCTGTTAATACATGTCATGGCCTGAATAGTACAAATTTGAAATAAAATAATCGATTAGAGATGTATGATGTATATCGATGATAAAATTTCACTAAGTTATTTAGCGGTAGTATTTTTGAATCTTTCCACGAAAGTGGGTGACTGTGCCGGAGCAGCATTAGGACAGAAATATTTACATAACGCAAGTGCTGCCCGGCCATTGGTACAAAATTGGTTTGAGAGTCTTCGATACCCTCATAATCTACATCACGTGTAATGTAAAATGGTTTATTGTTTCGTACCAAATGCTTTTGGTTAACCAACTAGTAAAATAATCTGCCGCTTCAGTGTTTTTCAGGCCATCACATTAATCAATGGGAGCGTAATCGCAGGGACATGGCCTGCGCTAATGAAAACGAGCATTATTTAGATTTTTTACCAGATTTACATGTTACCAGTGATACAAACAACAACGGTACAGTTGTGTTCTCATCTGCACATACCATTTCTTATCAAGCAATTCAATTACTGTAATTATTATTCACATTACTTCTGATTGCCAACATTGAATAGAGCAGCCTCCTTAAGCAACAACAATCATTTCGTGATAGGTACTGCATTCCAATCTAGTAAAATAGGACCCCGCAAGAACACCTCATGAGATATTGAAGTTAGTTCTGCCGTTTATGTCCTTAATTATACATTGATAAATCGTATTACCAACTATCATAACGTTAACAAATGGAATGAAGTTTGTTTATTGCCAAATACTTCCTATATCACAGTTCACTGACTCATTTACAGCAAAATGATCACGATATGAGATCTACGGCTGTGCCAGTCACCGCTTTGATTGATGCTTGCATTTTTAATTGCAAGAACGATCGTACTACGTTATTAAGTCATTTCCTTGTATCGATATATCTCAATAAAAGCATGATTCTTGCTTTACAGCACCAAAAACCTGTCTACCGATAAAATGCACAAATTTTTTACCCATTTATACACCACCCCAGAATGTCTCAACAGCCCAATGCGGACCAGCTTCTTGCGTCCATTCTGGCACCAGCTTCATTAACAAGGTATAACCGTATAAAGCTGTACAACAAGGATCGTGCCAAAATAATAGAAAAAGAGTTAGTGGAACTTTATAAAAGTGGACGTGTGCAAAGACAAATAGATGAGGATGAATTTGAAGAATTTGTGGGTAGTTTGTGCGAGGAGAGTGCACCACGTATCATTATGATGAGAAAACGGAATGAAGGCGATTTGTAGATTGCTGTGGTATTAAAGATTCTTTTATTGTGTGACTGCTGTGTGAAATCACGACATATAGTTAAGTGTTTGAAATATGGTAGCGTATTCGTTCAATTGTAGTAGGTTCTCATGCTATGTCAGCGCCATTTATATATTGCTGGTTTTTTACCAAAAATGTATTTATTCATGACTTTGTAACATCGTTGGTAAATATGGGAGGATTTACCCTAAGGATTCAGATATCAATGTATCACTACCACAACAAGGGATGATTTATTTGTATGATGAACTCGGCTCGCTTTAGCTGTATGCTCCGTTCTACAGGTAACTCATAAATTATTACCAGCACGAATTTCTCCATCAAGACGATTCTTGTATCTTCCCGTCAAAATCCCGTTTACGATCCTACTCAAGTACAAATTTTCTTCATCCTTTTTGTACCAACCCAAAATCGTTCGAAACTCCCTTTCTAAGATATGGTGGTACGCCTCATGAAAGAAACCCCTCAGAATTAAAATTTTTAGAACCATTACATCCTCTTTAACAGCGCATTCAACAAAATTATGGAGCTTTGCCACGTGCTTGATATCTTTTTTCCTTCTCTTTTGATATGCTTCAATAAAATAAATCAGCACCAATCTTCTATCGTTTTCCAATTTGTACCCCGTTTTGTTCTGCAGGTATTCAATTGATGCCTTGAAATACGGCAGTGCCCTAAATTTTATGGGGATTTTGAGAGGATCGTTAAGAAAATCAATGCTTTTGTCTTCGTAGTGTTTGTTCGGATCGCTCTGTATTAGATGTGCCAGACTGTTAAACTGTGGAAAATAGTAATTTAACTCCTTGATATACGCACGCACCTCCTTATACTTGCTATGTACTATCATGTCGCACAAGCAATTGTAGTTTAGCTTGTTAAGAATTTCTGTGGCTCTCTCATAATCCAGGCTGGCGCATTTAAGGAATACCATGAAATTTTTATATGTCTGCGTTGTTTGATTTTTATCTTCTACAATTAAGTCGTTCACCGACACGGTTTGTATTCTTTGTTCCATACAAATAACGATAAGTGGCGTTAATACCCGCTTATTGCGAAGAATATTTATCTGTTCGCTCTGGTCCAGGTGTTTAACAAGATCGCAGAAATACGACGGACTTACATTAAATAGACCGGACATAATTTCTTCAAAAAACAAAAAAACAGAATACATTTTCGGGTAACATATGCTTATATTGTTACGCTTGATAATTTTTTTCATACCCAGCCGCTTTAAAACGTGCTTGAGTACCTTTGTAGGCGAATAATCGAATGATGGGAGGGTATCAACATTTTTATCGTGGAGTGAAAGTATGAAGCCCCTTATGTCGCTGTTTTCTGTCAAGTATTGATTAATTTTCCTCAAACTCATCGACACTGTTTGGGATGAGGGCTTCAAAAAACAGTTTGCCATCAGTGTTTAGAAGCACCATGAAGAATTTATAATATAACGAAACAAATTAATGCGATGTAAGTTAATAAAGCTATTTTTTAACGATTATAGTTTCATGATGGTTCAGAAATGTTAATGTTCTGGTTTTGACTATGACTAGTGTAAATGACACAGAATTACCGGGTATTCTTCTACTAAATATATATTTTAATATAAAAGAAAAAAGAAAAAAAGATCTAACGTTTTCCCAGCGCGAACTATGCCACGAAATACTGAAGACCTGTCTACTACCACGATCATCAACAGGTTATACCATAATAAAAGTCGATTCCTAAACTATCTTGCTCTCGCTTCTATAGACGAATATGAATACAATGATAATCGTTATCTTTATTTGAGTATTTTGGGTTCGTCGTCGAGTAGCAACTCGAGTGCCTAACTAATGGAGATGTTTACAGTTCTGATCTCATCTAACAGCTATTGCATATATTCTGTTTACTGCTCTCTTCAATAAATCATTTTATTGTTTTAGATGTAGACTCTTGCAAGATATCTTGTTTAAAACTTTTATTCCATCAATATGGCAGGTGCACCAAAATTAGGGCATCAGCAGGTTTATTTTTATGTCTGACGAAGTGTCATCGTCCATATATTCACAATCATGCTATTTTAAACCCGTACATTTATCCTTTATACATGATTATATGATACATATTAAGAAGCGTATCGTTTGCATCTCAGGATTTTTTTCTATATTGGTATTCTAAACCCTTCCAATGTCATTGTTATCGTATGACATACTCATACTTGTTCTTTAAACCGGTAAATAAAGTTATGATTAAAATTACTCCGTTAAAATACGAAGCTGCCGTCTAAAACATCTTTAAATGCACCAAATTATTTATTGATCCGTATAAATAACATGGCAGCTCCATAGCTGGTCGGTCACTGTCCAAGAAAAATAAAAATTCTTTGTTCCGCAGCTTTACACGCAACAAAGAATACAATTATTATGTAACTCATCTGTTACAAGACATGCTGAACCGTTATTTACAGACGAAATTAATTTGCATGCTTACTAAATGAGAATTAGTTCATTAACCTTTATCACAAAATTCAAAACAAGCGAAAATATCAAGAAGCCAATGAAACAACAACTTAACAAAAGGCATACTAATAGGTAAATAAACTTTGTTCCGTTTTGTAAACGGAAATGGCAAACCTAATAAACTTGCACTAGTTTGTTACTGTTGACTCATAAAATGCTGCCATATTTTGTGCCTCAACGTAATGGTTTAGTATATCAATACTTAAGATTCCTTATTCCGCCCAGCACGCTTTATTCTTTATCATCGCGTACTTTCGTTCCTTCTAATAAAAGAACAACCTTCTTCTAAGCACAGCCATTATGTCTTGTAATGAAATGAGTAGTGGTAAACAAAAATAGATTTGGTGAAAAGGGATGAATAGCAGAAATGAAATTACAATACCAATATTTATATCTTTATGTAACAGATTGGTTGTAAAACATTCGGTAAGTATTTATTTTGTAGGACCCGCATTCTCGATGTTTTGTTGAAAATTATACAATTTGCTCGAATTGGTAAAACTTTATTTTCTAATCCGTATGACACGCTAGATTTAAGTGCAACTATTGGACACTCAACTCTGCTTTATTTCCAATACTTAGTTGTTGAACTCTTCAATTCTCACGCTATAATTTACCTATCATGGTACTAACATCCTTTTCTATCGCCTTTACGTCATTTCGAACACTCAGGAATGTTTTAACAGTGTTGTCGGTATTTATATAACTTACATCACATCCAAATACCAGTTTTCTAAAGTCGTTCATGCAAAAGAGTGTCTTCTGCCTTGCCATCACCGTTATTTTCTGTTTCATTTACCGCATATTATCGAACCAACGACCTTTTGTCTACATATCCCTAGTGCTGTGCACGGCTTTCGCTTTGATCCTTAATATCGTACGCATTGTATCTTGGTTAACCGTAGTAACACTGCCACTTTTTTACGAAAATGTTTTACATTACTACACATAATCTGTGAAGCAAAGATCTGCAGCTATGATCGGTCTCAGCATACTTTAAAAGTTTTTTTTTGATGATATTAAGTACGAAATTATAAACAAACGACTTTTAGTCGAAATCACAGTACATAATACGCTGTTGTTGAGCAAAACATTAAGTTTCCTACCAATATAAATATTTGTTCTATCTATGAGCATGCAGTACAACAAAACAGTTTCAAATGTATCATAAAACTGATCAGTAAAAATTTAGTAATACAACAGAAAGTACTCCGTAAATTAGTCTGATATTGAATGGAAGTATAGGTGCGAATCTTCCCGTATCACTGACATGACTTTGACACTTTACTACCCTATTTTACCAATTGTCAATTAGTCGTCTATGTGCCATGAAAAAATATATAGGCAATGTATTCGTCGATGTTGAAAAGGATACTTTATTCGGTATTTAAGGAATGTTTTAACGAGCATATAGCCAAAAGTAAAGCTATATTGTATGACATGTCATGGTTTTTTATTTACCATTATCGATTAAAATAATTTCTGTATTTTTCTTTCATACATATTCTAATATAATAGCATTCTTTTGCAAGAATACTCTTTTTACATATCTTTCTACTTGTATAGTAGTATTGCGAAACCACAGTTACAAAGCATTTGTTAATTCTCACAAGTATAATTTCGTGAGCAGTATTTTATCAGAGAGCATGGCATTGATGAGTATCTGGCTCAGTGGTCATAAGTTCTTATAATTGGAGACAGTTGACAAAGGAGACACGCTCCAACCTGCATACACGCAATTATTGAATAGCTCTTTCTCAACAACCATACATCATCCGAGAAGAGATGACAATTATGAAAAGCACACATATTAAATGTTATTCCCCTTAAACAGCAACATATATCAATCGGTATATTTTAATAGGCACGAGCACACTCCTTAAAAGCAACACGCCATACACCTCTGCTGATAAAGAGTACAGCGATGATCAAATACACCCAAACCTTTCCTTTTTAGTATCGATGAGAACACCAAATGTCATTTCAAAGTATTTTTAGCGCAGATCAGTTCAAAGAATATATCATCGATCATATACACTGCTACTACCGTAACAGAATATCACAACCACGATGTCAAACACGGCAAATTGATCTTTGACAACCAAGCACAGTGTTTTAGACTGCTGCGTACCAGCATCCAAACTTAACACACTTTCATTATAAAAAAAGTTTTATCACTGATCTCTTCTGTTGAGTGACGAATAAAATCGTGTTATAGAAGATGATAAATAGGAACTAATAATATCTGTTGTTTTATACGTCTATAAACAAACATAATTTGGTTTGTATCATCCTTTATAATAACTAATCTTTATTTATGTATCATTATGTCCTTTACAAATACTAAAAAATTTACTTCTCCTTTGTTCATGGCGAAGATTGAAAGTTTTGGATGCAAACATTACAGAAGAAAGTGTTTGATCATTACAGACTGCTGTAAGCGCACATATCCATGTAGACTTTGTCACAACCATAACGAGGACCATAAAATGATTAGGCACAGAACGAAGTATATGCTGTGTTTGTGTTGCGGAATGATACAAGGAGCAAGCCAATACTGTGTCATGTGCAAGGTAAAAATGGCAAATTATTTCTGCAAAATTTGCAAGTTTTGGACGGATTCGCTTGGTGTATTCCATTGCAAGCAGTGCAAGGTTTGTAGAGTGGGGAATAAGAAGAACTTCTTCCACTGCACTGGATGCAACGCATGCCTGCCCAGAGAACTGCTGAACAACCACAACCATGTAGAGAACACACTGAAAAGCACCTGTCCTATTTGCGCAGAGTTTATGTTTGAAAGTGTGAACGATGTGGTGCTGCTGAACTGTGGCCATTCAATCCACTTTGCCTGCTTCAAAATTTACAAGGAATCATCGTTTCAGTGTCCCGTGTGTCTGAAATCGGCCGGAGATACAAAGGTCCTGAACGAACGAATCGATTGCATACTGAGCAATAATGTTGGCCTAAATGCCAAACGACAAAACTACATGTGCCAGGTATCGTGCTTCGACTGTCAGTCTGTGAGCAAGACTATCTACACATTTCTATACAACAAGTGCGCCAAATGCGGATCTTATAATACACGTATCAACGAGCTTTATAAGACAGAATAATTTCATAGAGAATATATCACAAAAAATAAATAAAACTGTTTAGGAGGATTAGAAAATGCACATTTTTATTTGATGAAACATCGAAGACCAATCAACTGTCCCTTTCAAACAAATAAACAGCCCGCCCAAGAGAATAAATGTGCATGTTGATAAACTGAAAAACTGTGCTCTATCGCAGTGAACCAAAAAATACGATTTCAGACAGGGTAGTGCATCAGATGATGAATAACAACTTTTAGCAAAAAAAATAAATGGTACTGAGGAAGAACAAGCAAGTCAATTGAATAAACAGGCGTATTTTTGTTTTGTTCCGTAAACGGAAGTATCGAGATTATTTAAAAAATAAAATTGGTTGAAAACCACGTTCATCCACATGTGCAATAGTTATGCATTAAATTCACACTTTGCGTACGATATGATAGCATGAAGATTTACGGCACAAATTCCCGTAGTTGAGAAATAATGGTGTAAATTAAAGCATCTTCAACACTAAATAAAGATAATTTTCTCGCCATTGCTTTATTGTATTCCATACGTGACACTGCTGGCGAAAAACCTCGTTTTGTTCCTACCGATTGTTGTGCATTATCCAGTTGATACATCCGAATGCTCCCAAATGCCCCGCATGTTCTATAAAAACTGGTTCTATAGATGTCTTTCTGAGTGCGTGGAAGCAATACACTATTCGTTTTTGGACAACGTCTTGCAGACTAAAGCAGCCTGAAAACACAATTCGTGCCATGTTCTGTTTTTCTGCATGGCTTATGGCCATCAAACAGACATTATTCACTATTAGGGAGAGCAGAGATGATAGAATATCATATTTGCTGAACTCGATATCGGAAGAAAGGGAGACTTTGCCAAAGGAACTTGCAACAAGATTGTTAGAAAGCCCAAGAAGATTTCTGGTGTCACAATTTCCATAGATATCATTAATAGACAGATCAACGCCAAAGTTGTTACCCAACGAAGCCATATCAAACATTTTGTCGATGTTTTCTTCCTTGCAAATCAGCCAACCCAGTCCAGCAAATGTGCCTCCTCCGATAGTAGTACCTCCCAACCTTGCAAAATTGTTTTGCGTTAATCTTATTATCGAAATGCCTGACCCAATGTTTACCAGAATGCATTCATTGGTCCGCGCGACTTTGTTCTTATTCATACTGATCGGATTGTACGTGTAGAACTGTTGTATGTCGTGTTCTAAAATGTACTGATACCCTAAATACAATGCCTCCATTTCCGGCAAAATATTTTCATGCGGCAAAAAATTGTGCTTGTACGAACCACCGCCAGTCAACATCAATTTTGCTCCACTTTTTTGTTTAAGCATATTCGACAGCTCAACAACATCCTTTATTTTCATTACAGTAAATTTTGTCTCATTGCCAACGATCTCAACGCATTTTATAAGTGATCCACCGAAATCGATACCAATCATTGATATGGTGCTAAAAACAACGGTCGCAAAAAAAAAAAAGCTCATTTATGTGATTGATAAGTTTCATTCAGTAGAAACTATTTATAACAAATGTTTTATCTATTTTCGGGCTAATTTACTTGCTGAAAGTTTGGAAAAAATATTATTTGGTTAAATAGAAAAGTAAAATTGAGATTGCTTTTTATTTTATACTTGCACTTCGGTACCTTATTTCTTTTAATTTTGGCGTTCAATCTGTTAAATGACAGCGTCTGAATGATAAATGACATGATGGTACTACGGAAAAAGTAACAAGTAAAAACTAACAGCGGATGTTTGTGATTTATAGAACTTGTAGGCTCCTGTTAGCAACTGGTTAGTATTTAGGTTTATTGCGCTCATTAAGTATAAGCACTTCGTTTTGAAAGGAAAAAATGCGTAGAGGCATTAGACTTGATCTTAACAAATATTAAAGGTATGTTTGTGCATGTTCATATATTTAATTGATGAATTTGTCATTGTACATGCAATTACAGCCAGGAGCAGTAATATTTTATAAACTAATAAATCTTTTTTTAATGCATCAAAATTACAACTTTGTTCGTAAAGTGCTAAAAAAATTTACAAAACAGATATGGATCTTAATAAACGTTTATTTGAACACAGAATTAGCGAACATGGTTTGCCATGTCACCAAATGATGGTTAAGGTGGCAAAACGGAATAAAATAAAAAGGTTTAGCTTATTTTACATCAAATTTTGAACTTTATTTTGATAATGCTGTAGAAGAATGATTTTCCTTCTTAGTAAAATTAGCATTTTTTAGCTCAATTATTTAATTATGAATTAATAGTTCCGACGAGTATACACGCATAATTGATGTTATCCTGATTTTAATGAAATTATAAGAGCATGTTATCTGTTGTCAAGAATAGAAATAAAAGTGAAGATTAAATTATTTTTTTTGTCACGTTTTATCTTCTATATCCACAGTACCAGTGTACTCACAGCACTGTGCAGGTTTTTTTATTAATTATAAAATTTGATTTTTTGTATCCCTGCCATGCTAAAGAAACTGAACAAAATACGCAACAAGGTGAGCAAAAGAGGTGCAAATCCTGACGAGTACATTAATGCCGTTAAGTCTTTAAAAAAACAAGATGCTAAGAACAGGGAGGTATACAACGCTGAAATTATTATCCAAAGATTGAACACATCCAAGTCGGCAGAAGTAAAGCACAGACTGATGCGAAAGGTACAAAACAAAATACCCAAATTGAGAGAGGTTGACTCCTTGTATGCACGGTATGTCGAGACATTATCGCTATTGTACGCAGGTAATGAGAAGGGTAGCGAGTCGATGCGTGTTATGTCCGATGAAATATATGAATATGATGCTTTTTATACAAATCTGTTGGTGGTGCAAGAGCAGGGATTGAAAAGAGAGATAAAAGACTTTGATATTTTGAAATATGGCATTCTGATTAAGTTCAACACAGAAACGGAGAAAAAATATTTTTTGGACCATCAGATGCTCCGTGGTGACAGTTTTGATGCCAATTTGGCGAATTATATGACACAACTTGACAAAATGAAAGCAAAGGTAGAGAAAAACATGAGAGAAATGCGTAGCTTTCCTTTGAAAAAGACAAGTATTGTAAATATGAGACGCTTTTTAGAGACATTCTGTGTTTTTCTTGAGCAAAATTATGTTGAATACGAAACCATAAAAGCATTAATGAGCGATGTTTGCCGTATTGAGAAGTTCCTTGATGAAATTGTTTACAGACTTAAATCTGGCCGTAGTAGGTGGGATATTGCCAATTTTAGCTTGGAGCATTTTTCTGAGCTGAATCAATACATTGAGAGAGACCTAAAGCTTTTTGATAGTGAAGGGTTCAATGCAAAAGCGCAAATTTTGGAAAAGGTTGCACAAAATCTCGAGAAGAGGGAGATCCTACCGTTCTTGCCTATCTTCTACGACATAGCGTACGATCATATCCAGTTCCCAGAGATAAATGATGGCAGCTCGTAAAGTAAAGTTTCATTTTCATACATATCGTGTATTTTGTATAAAAAATTGTTCTTAATAGACTCAACAAGGAAAATAGGTTTGTTACAGTGCCGTGTTATTTAGTACAATTTATCATTGTTTTATCTTGGTACAACACGTGATGGTCAGCGTTGTACCATGCAAATGGACAAAATCATTTTCAATATTGCAATCATCATACCAATATTTCATTTCCTAGTAGGAGCAATTTATTTATATTTTCATACAAACCGACATTCTTGCTTTTACTTTTGCTTATATGTTGTTTCAAATCTTTACGATGTATCCGTCCACATTTGTAGAAGGCCTCTTTTGTTCATCAAACAATATTATAGCTTTACAAGCCATCAATTAAGGTTAAGCTACACTAAATTTGGTTGCTACTTCAGTTATTTCTCTTATCAACTATCGATCAAGGCTCTCAAAATTTAGCTAAATAATAATTAAAACCATGTTCGGTCACCACAAAACATTGAACAGTAAAATAGGCTAATATTACACCTATCCTGTATTACCGCCTTACTGTAATTTATTAAATATGGAGTTATCTGACCAGATATTTTATGGAATCAAACCAGAAGGATATTTGCATTGCTACGCTTACTACCATTGATCAAATTAACTTGTCGATGACAAGCTTTTCTATCAAATGGAGATCGGTTTTATCGATATTTCTATTTATAAGGTTTCGATAACCAATGATCAAATTATTAAGTGTGTAGATAATTCTTGAAATGTTAATTTTTTTCTTGTTCTTGAGGTAAATACGCAGTGCAGCGGTTTGCAACTCGGTAAAAAGTTGAGAATCGAGATATTGAAGAAGTATGCTACTAATATCGTGTTTTACACATGAATTGGCAGATAAATAGGTATCTAAGCGTGATGATAAGCTGTTTTGATCGACTGTAATACTCTCTTCATAAATAAACTTTTGTTTGTCCATCTTTTTTTGGTATTTGTAGCATAAGTTCAGTTCGTCATTTTTTCTGAATATAAACATGAGATCGACATTCTCTTCAATCCTATTTTTATACTCTGACAGGCTGTTGATGTAAATACCACCAGAATTTACTACATTTGTGTAAAAAAGTTTGATTTTCATATGGTGAACTGCCAAAAAATTGTTGGCGATCCTGCTGACACCGGTTACATCGAAAGTATAAATGAGTATTTTAAGATTATTGAAGAGCTGAATGCTTAGAATGATTGTTATCAGCTGATCCTGTGCACATATGCTGTTCTTTATACCATCAAAAATATATTTGGTTGTTAATTCTACGCTTGAGGATCTTATACTACGTATCTGTTGGTGCTTTCTCCATGTTTTCAACACACAAAATAGAAGATCACCACCTGATCCTCTTATAAAATGCCCAAGGGCACCGATAAACTCATCATTTGTGTAATCGACACCACAGACTGTGACACATTTCTGTACAGATGATCCTTCGCTTAACCTAAAATAGTAACTTTTTTCAATCTTTCGCTCACTAAAAGCTTCTTGTAAGGATGTAAGACATGCTCTACATTCCTTTGAATGCTTTTTGCAAAATATTAGCTCAATAGCATCTGCCTCATTGTTATAATAGTACAAGAAATTGCTGATTTCCAATATTGTGTCGGGGCTCCTACACAATTTGTTGGTGCATCGGTATGATTTAAACAAGGTATTTGTGTTTATCTGAAACAGAAAGAACTGTCCCTCAACAAAAAATAGTTCGTTGCTGTCTGCATGCCTAAAACAATTGCGCAAATTCAATTTCCTGATACTGCTATTTGTATTTCTGAAGGTGTAATTGATTTTTAAAACCGGACTCAGACAATATCTTTCTTTTCTCTCTGTTGTCTCATCTCCACATGCTGTATGGCAAGGTTGTTTTGAAGAACAGTTTCCCGTGTTGCACGCGTCGTATCCTATACAGGGATTGTTGTAGTTGAACCTGTGCCTTAATATCAGCCTTTTTATGTGATAGCTATACATTTTTATTTCGTTCGCATAATTCGTCACAATTTTTTCGGTTTCTTGTGGATATTGGTGGTAAAGATTTATAAAATCAATGGTAATATCAATTTGCACAAGACTATTGAGTTTAAGACCATTAATATTCCGACTGCTGGCAAGAATTTCTCTCATCATCTTCATCGTTGGTTTATTTTCCATTTATGCATAATGCTACACCAAACAAAAGAAATGCGTAAAATGATAGACCGAATAAAATAGCTGGAGAACTTATTAATAAGGTAACCATCCTATGATGATAAAAGGATGTACTAACATTATGCAATGTATCTAATACAGAAATACGGAGTGGGTACGGATTATACGACATAGATTAATTATTATTGATCGCTATTTAAGATATAAATGGATTATTTTGGCAAGATGGCGTAGCAAATTCTGCCATGATGAAATGCTTATTGTATGAAAACAAATAGCATCTCAAAGAATAACCAATACATACAGCTTCCGAGAGATGTGTTATCATGCGCAACGAATTATTTAATATATGATGTAAATGCTAATGAACAAGTTCTATCTGTAGTATGCAATCGAGTTATAACAAATTTATTAAAGCATTAGCTGTGCTGTCACGTTTTTCAAAAACGGGTGTATGAATGGATAGTAGATCAAAATAGCGCTTTTGAATATAACCGCAACATCAGGTCATTCCTTTCTACCAACTGTTCCATGGTTACAAAATCAATAAATCACTTTCATTCTAGTAGCTCATTGTACACAACATTTCTTGTGTATACTTTACCATTCTCATGCTTTCCTTGGTCTCCATTGTCAGCAACATACACCCTTAGACCGTTTGCATAGCGCACTCTCGACAGAGCTACATACAACTGACCATGCACAAAGACTGGGCTGTGCAGATAAACACCTACCTTGTCAAATGACTGACCCTGTGACTTGTGGATTGTCATCGCAAACGAAAGAAGAACAAGAAACTGTCTTCTCTTGAGTATGAATGGCAGCTGTGTCTCGCTCGGTGCCATGTCGATCCTTGGTATAACTGCCCTGCTACCTTTCCTGGATCCGGTTACAATAGTAGCTATGATGAAGTTTGTGTGGAGTTTTCAACCACCAGGTGTGTGCCATTGAGCAGGCCATTGGCTGGATCAAGGTTGCGCAATAGCATTATCAACGCACCCTTTTTAGAACTAACTTGTGCGGTGGCAATCCTGAAGGCTGCTGCTTGTTGAGAAACTCTAGCGGATAGTTCGCAACAACATCGTTGTCCTCTGTGACAATAGAGTCTGCACTCGTGTATGTTACTTCGTTGCCGATCATCAAGTCAAGGACCCTGTCATTGATTTCCTTTGCAGCATCGTTGTTTGTTGTGAGTATAGTTCTGTTCGTCAGATCTTCGCTGTCAGCCATGTTGGCAACATCACCATATATCTCGTAAACGATGTCATCGCACATATCGTTAACGTAGTCGTTGAACAGCCCAAGTGCATCATGCGGTCTGTTGAACACACAGATGTATGCGAACAGCTTTCTGATATGGTCAGATGTCTCTGTCATTGCAGCTTCGCCCAGCACGTTCTTCCATTCATTGTCATCCTGCAGAAGATTTCTTGCCATTGCTGCTTCCTCGAATGTGCCATATATAACATTGTTTGCACTTCTTAAGTCGTCGAATGATGTGGCACCTCTCACGTTGAGCAAGAGCATTCTCAGATAGAATCTCTCCTTTTCCTCTGGACTGACCGCATACAATCTTGTAATGACTTTGTCATCACCCCGCTGTCGCAATACCCATCGGCTGTTCTGGTACACATAGTGATATGAAATGTCGGTGTAGAGATATTGTCTGGTTATTTTTTACTGCAACTGGTACTATTATTTTGGCCCTATACTTTTTTTAGAACATGCACAATATCGAAGTGCTTTGTTAAGAACTGTACACGGAGCACAGGAACATTTTGCAGACTCTCGTAGGTCCGATCAATAAATAAAGCTTTGCCGCGGTATACAATCAGCTGATTATCTACAGCACAGACAAAACCACCAGGATTTAACAATTGTGTCTTTTCCACCAAAAACTTTTCAGTCGGCGTATTGTCACAATCTGGATACATGATGCATCGATTTTTCAACTTATTTATAGCTTTATTTCTTCCAGAAAAATGAATGTTAGTCAATGATAAGAAAATAAGAACATACAAACTGTTCACAAAAACGTCAATTTGATTGTGATGTTATGTTCTGTTACATTGACCAAAAACTCACTTTTACATCCATTTCTTTATATTTTATTCTTTTCTGGTAAATCACCTCAACATATCGTGAATGCCATTGTAATTTGTTACAATGTTGAGGAAATCAAACAAAAGTTAAAAGTGCAGATATGTTATTTATTTCATGCATTTTGATTAGACGTGGTGGA